AAGAATACGGGGTGTAGTCGTCTCCTTGTGCTTATTTTAGAATTTGTATGTTATTGATGATGTTTGGTTCTTCTCGTGAACAAGTCAAATGTTGAATTTTATTACAAAATTCTGTTACGCATTTATTTACCAAGATTTTCCAGCTGCTGCTTAACTGTGTATTGTATATCTAGTTTGTTGACTTTTATTTTAGTTTCCATCATGGAAACCCTTGTTTCTAATTAATTGCAAATTCTCCTCGTTGGTCAGTCCTATGCAAATATTGCACGATTGGACAAGGATAGTTGAGACAATTAACAAATTTTAGACATGATAATATTGTTCTTCTACCAAGCGCAATTCAGTCCAACATACCAAAACATGCTTATAAAATTGCGTATATTTTGATTTGCAAAATTGGCACATCAGCTATATATTCTGATATCCTTTTTCTTGATTGAAGGCTCGTTTTTGTTTATTAAAAAGACTTTGATAGTGAAAAGTCGAGAAGCATTCAAGAATTAACAAAAATTCATAAAACCACAATAATAACAGTAAGTAAAGTGCAGAAAATTGTAAAATCAACACAAGGATTTTTAGGCTAAAGCCCCAGAGGTCCCGCGACCACTTCTATCGCTTAATCCCTTGTTAAGCATCCATTAAAATGGATAAAATTCGATTGCACTATAAAGCCCCAAAAATAGAAAGCAAGTATAAAAGAATGTTCCAAAAATATTACAAGAACCAAGTCACTAAGACTTAACAGAACCAACAAGGCAAACCACATTTCACGAAGGAATCAAAAACGGATCACACAAATCTCACATCACAGATACTGCCTTCAATGAATCACATATCTTTAAGAGAAATCACAATAATCGACTGCTATTCCACAAAGGAATCAAACGAGATCACTAAGATTTCATAAAACCCAAACTGCCTCAAAAAGAATCGCTCAGATTCTTATAAACTCGACTCAACAGTACACTATTATAAGGAACTATAGTATTTCAAGGTTTTACAAAAGAATTATTTTCTGGAAACACTCAAGAAACCAAGCCCTAAACCATGAAGAAGAAAATGTTCTTCACCGAAAGAGAGAGCCAGAGAGTCGACCCCAAAACCAAGAAAAATCTCTCGATAATCTATCGTCCAGAAGAAGAGTCACAAGACTTTATAGTGGAAAGATCTAGAACTCAATTGGACGGCCTCCAGGTCACCACGTGTCAAGATCTTGTTGAAAGCTTCCACTAATTAATTTGTCATTTGTAAAACACGTCTTTCTCTATTTTGGAAGCACACTTCTTCAAATCACAGATCAGCGGTTCGATTCTCAATAGATAGCTACTCGGCAAGCAGATTAAAAAAAAAAAAATCAACAACAATAACAACGATTTGAACATGGATCAGCTCTTGTTTGAGAGTTATTCTTTAGGGAAAAAATACATTCTCAAACAGTGTTTAAATATCATTTCAACCACACATTCTTTAATAAAATAATATTATACGTAAAATCAAAATTTTTTCTTATTTTTTAATCACACATTTCCAATCAATACACTGTTCAAAATAAAAATAAAAATAAAAAATGCATTTTTTTCCAAAATGGGGCTCAATTTATATTCTGATTGTTGCCAACCCTATTGCGTGGCTACTTGCAAATGACGTAAATGCGACAACTGCTATCCGACCATGCCCAATTACATCAACTCTACTAGACATCGCCTTTGACTTGAGATTTGATACTCTAAACACGATTTTGTTGAGTTTTTTTCTGGACAAGAATCTGCTGCTCTATTTTGACTTGCAAATTTGTTCTCTAGCCAAGCAACAAATCACCCTTCAACGCACAATGTTATTCACACGTTCAGACACTGCGATCTTAGACTTTATTTTGCCGCAAAATTTGTGTTCAAAGGACCTCAAAAATTACGTGGTCGAAATGGAATTGACAATGCCAAAAATGTGGAAAATCATTTTTAGACCGACATGTTGTCCTAAATAAAAATAGGAAATTGGACCATAAAAATTTATGGGATTGGGTCCGTTAGAATTTGGGGTTCCCATATTAAAGGGTCAACCTTATTAAAAGAAAGTAATATAAACCCTTATAAATTGATCTGTATTTTAATCATTATTTGAATGTGAAATTTTATCTTTTAATTTGCTACCACAAGAGGGTGGCTCGTTTTGAGCAAATCAAATGTGAAATTCGTGTGCTCATTTTTTTGAATCTTAATCAGATTATATTGCTCATTTGAATTTAATGAATTCTGATATCATGTTGAAACTTGAAATTTTATCTTAAAATGTCAACATTTTTAAAAACAGTAGTTCAAGACCTTATATGTTGTTCTATATTTTAATCTTTATTCGAAGCGATATTTTATTGCTTTTTAAGTAGGATGAAATAATTCAATAAAAGGAGTGTCAGCATCAACTTTCTAGTTCCAAACATGAATGCCTAAGAGTTGATAGAGAGAGCTCAATATTAATTAAAACTAAACCAAACAAGTTTGTTTTGTACAGTAGAACTTTAAATAGGTCACGAGATGTCAGTCAGAGATACCAAAACCACAAGAAATTGTCCAAAGTATTTATTATTTATTTGAGTTGTTTGTTCATGAATCTGATATTTTTGGGTAACCATTACATTTAATAGAAACCTACCACAGTTGTATTTACATCATTTTCCAACAAATCATACAATCAATTAACTTAACATTTAGGCACCTTATGCAAAACCTTTGTCACCTAGTATTTGGTCAACTATGAACTGTTGCTTTTCAAGCGCACGCAATTATCTTCGTGAATCTTCTTTCGTCATTTGATTTGACAAAAGATTTTTTAAGAAATTAGACTTTTTACGATCGCCCTAGTTTTAGTCTCGTTACTTTGACCGTGTTCTTTGAAATCGTATCACTCTTATGAACGTGAAATTCATTATTTGCTGAAATAATTGTTATCCAATTGAACTTTACGTTTGTTCATTAAATGTCCACGTGCCTTTGAACGAAATTGTCTCAATCATCGGGGCATAGTTAAGCCAACGAACCTGGACCATTGAAGCACCATCACGCAACAAAATGCTTTGAATCTTGATACTTGGCTAGAAACTCGATAGGAAGCTTCGGCCAACAAAAGGACCAAAGGATTGGGATATGGACGGAAACCTTTTATTGCAAAGTGTAACATAATCGATCTAGACTTCAAATCATTAAATCCGTGCATGCACACAATGTACTTATAACTTCCAAAAATTGATTATCGATTTTTTCAATTGATCAATTTAGTCATATCCAACTCCAGTATAGAGCTTTCGAGGTTTGATATCGGAAATAATCTTAAAAAAATAGTTTGAATTTGACTTGTTTATTTTTCAAGTAGATGTTCAAAATTTCTTCTTGGAGTCCAATTAAAATCCAGCTTTAGTGTATTAGGTAATTTAGGTTATCCACGTAAGGCCCAACTAAATGAATTTTATAAAAAATATATTCACTATTAAACCAATTTTACACTATTATAAATTTGATGGCTCGATAATATAAAGTTTGAATATCTCCACAAGTCTTCATATATGTCCCAAAAGTCGTGCTCTTGGCAAGCTGGTTTGGATAATCACAATCATAATCCAAACGCGCTAATGCTTAGTCATTTGACAAAAATTGCATATTCTCACTAATAATGTCAACAAATATCTCGATACGAGTAGAAAACATTGACTAGCGGAATGATCACGACTATTTGATACATTGAATTGAACACAATATTGCTGAAGCAGTTGTCATATATTTCCGATGTTTTGTTCTGTAACTTCAATATTTGAGATTGAGTGGACATTACCGTATAATATTCCGGTATGTTTGATTTGATTTGTCCAATGTTTTGTCGCAAATTTATGCACTTGTGGTATGTTTAGCAAGATGTGTTAAATAACACTACATGGTATTATTTATTATAGAATTCAATCACGTTCATTGCTCGATAAAATATCAAACGTGTATTATTCATCAATGTCTAGTACACAATTAAATGACTAATTCTATTCATATATGGTCTAGATTATTATCAATCTATTTGTCTGTGGGTTATTATCATGTAAATCAATTGCGATCTAAACTTTAAATGAATAGCATTATTTCAATTAAATAATGAATCTCAATTATGTAACGTAGATTATTAAATAATCTCAGAGTACTAAGTACTCCACAGAACCAAAGTACAATTTTCTCTTCTCCCCCCCCCCCCCCCCCCCCCCCGCACCAAAA